AAGGCAGTTAAATCGAAGTCTCAGGGGTGGTGTGAGGGGGAAGGAGTAAAAGGGGGTGGGGTCTGCAAAGCCCTTCACAATCACCTGGGGAGATAGGCAGGACTGGTTTTTTTAGCCCCATTTTACTGGGGAGGCAATTGAAACTCCCAGACTTGAGTGGCAGAGCCCCCAGAGCACCCCAGGAGAGCTGGATGCGCTGTGTCACACTGCCTGAAGACTGGAGCATTCACTTAGGGGCAGTGAGGTGGGGCAGGCAGTACCTAGGAGCACAGGACCAGGAGTACCAGGGCCCAGATTCCAGGGTCTCCTCCCTCCCAGCCTCAGTGGACCCAATCTGGCCTAGCCTTTGTGGTAGTGACTGGTTGCCCTGCCCCACCCCTAAGGGTTGTAGCCACCAGCCAGCCAAAACCAAACCCCGAGGCAGAAATGGGGGGGGGGGGAATGAGGAGAGAAACACACCCAGCTCTTGGGGAACTGAGTCACACCACCAGAGGCCCTGCTGACCTCTATTAGCCAAACCAGGGAAAAAAAGCACTTACTTTGTCCCAGTTAGTGGCCACAACTTTTTTAGGTAAAGAAGAACCAAAGGAAGTCAGCAGAGGGCAGAACCTGCAGTAGGGGAGCTAGGGAGAGTGCTGAGAGGGGAAGAAAGGGAAGAAAAGGGTGGACAGAAAATAGACCAGGGTTAGAAGGGGAGAAAAGAGGAAGTGGTGTGGGGGACAGGGAAGGGAGGTCAGGATTAGAAGGAGTGGGGTGGGGGACAGGGAAGCGAGGAGGAAGGTTCAAGGGGACAGAGAAGAGAAGTCAGGGTTAGAAGGGGTCAGGGGACCGGGAAAGGAGGTCAAGATTAGGAGAGAAGAGGAAGGGACAGAGAAGTGAGGGGACAGGGAAGAGAGGACAGGGTTAGGAAGGGAGAAAGGAAGAGATCAGTAGACAGAGAAGGGTAGTAAAGAAGTTAGAGAGAGGATAGGAGGAGGAACAGGGAGAGTGAAGGAAAGATGGGAGCAGGAAGAGCCAATGTGTTTACTGTTCTGGGATTTGGGGGGAGGGGTTTCTCCATGTAAGGAGCAAGGAGCTGAGAAAGACAAGTGTCACTTCCAAGTTGCTCCAGGTTCTGTCCCCCAAATGTGCCTGGTTTTTCTCATTTTAGCCTTAATGTTCCTATCTCCAGCTCTGGGCCCCCAGAACAGTGCCTGGCTCACTTCATTGAATGAACCTTAAGACCTAAGTCATTGATCCATCTGTCAGGAAATCCTGCGTCAGTACTGGGCCTCTTCCCAACTCATCTCCCCTCCCTTTCCTCACCACTCTCTTCTTTCCTGCTGAGGCGGGGAGGGGAGAGTAGGAAGGAGGAGGCCGTGGTCTTTGCAGCATGACCCATCCAAATACGGTCAACTCTCACTTAGATCACTTTATGAATTACCTGAGGCCTATTTTTAATTCTAGACTGGCCTCATTGCCATGCCAATGCATTTCTGGGTTTATTTCAGTCTCCCTGATCTTTTTCATGTCCATCTATGGGTGGGGGGATTAGGTTTCCAGCTCTGATACAACCTTTTTCTTACATTCAGTAGTGCTCCCCCGCCTCCCTGCAATGAGCTCGGGGTCCAACAGAAAAGAACCCAGAACCCAGTGAACACAAATGCCTGAAAATCTGAGTTTGGTATTTGAGCTGCTATTTATGCAGCTCCCCGTGGAAGGAGCCCTGTTGCTTTCCAGGAAGGTAGAACTGAGGTAGGGGATTATCTACCAATCAACTCCTGTTTGGGGAGGCAGTTAACCTCGGGCATTCTGATTTCCAGCCCCAGGCCCCCAATTCCCAGAGAAATCCACCCAAACCCACTAGATTTTGCTCCCTGAGCAAAATCTTGGATTTGCACCATTGGGTCCTGAGGACAGTGAGCAGTGAGTACACTGAGCACTAGGTTTAGAATCTGAGGATCTGGTTCAAACCCTGCTCTGTCTCTTACTAATGAGTCACTTTGCTTTAAAGGCCTTGGGCTCCCAAGACTTTTGTAAAAAGAAGGGGTCAGGTTGAACAGTCTCTGATGTCTCTCCAGCTGCGGTGAATGCTAGCTAGCTAGGATTCTTCTGCAGACCCCAGCGCCACCTGGGATTGCAATGTGGACATCTGGACACTAGGGGACGCCCCATCCCACACCCCAGTAGCTCCCCTGTCCGAGGAAGCTGAAATTCCGCCCGCTCATATTTTCCCTTATTTGGAATGAGACTGAGAAGTCAGACATAGCCTCAGACCCACGCCCCTCTCCTGGCGTGCTGCCTTCCCGATTCCCCTGCCCAGGACACTCAGCATTGCCTGCTGCTCAGACTTGAAGGCTGTCTCTTTTTGGATGGTCTGCTAAGGCAATGGGCCACTCCTTCCTCTCACTTCCTGGGCTCTCAGTTTCCCCAGAGCCTCATGGTCTCTAAGGGCCTTGCTGACAGTCTCAGAATGTGACTTGAAGCCCCATGGCAGAGCTAGAGCAAGGCCCCGGGATGCTTCTTCCAGGGCTCAAAGTGGGGTAGAGCAAGAAGTCCTGCACCTCACCTAACCCTAACTCTAAATTCATGCTGGCCTGACAGCCAGGGGCTTCCCTCACCAAAGAAGAGGGAAGACTGAAAGGCTGAGGGGATGGGGGGAATGACAATCAGAGGGCATATTAGCTGTGCCAGGTGTGGGGCCTCACCCATCCACCACCCAGGGCCACACATCCCTAGTCTCCAAGCATCCTCCTGTTTAGAGACTCAGTCTGCCCCATGGAGGAAGCTAAGGACTTGGCATTGTTCAACTGAATTGAAGACAGGTCCAATCCATTCTTAGCCAGGGGGCTCCCTGCCCATGCCAACCCAACACCCCATCCAGATACCCTGACAGCACTGTCCACAGAGCAGCTAAAGTGGAACTGTGTACCAAGGGGCACAGCATCAGGGCCTGGCAAGGGATACCACATGCTCCCACAGGTGTCTGGTGGGAGGCTTCTGGGCTCTTTGGTTTTCCCAACACATAGCTATGAAGTGGCTAAGAGCCTAGCCACTCGTGTACACACACACACACACACACACACACACACTCACACACACACGTACATATATAGAGTAAGTAACCTGAAATCTTACATATATATCTATATCTATATACACACAGAGTAATCTGGAATCTTATACACAAACAACACACACACCCTCACAAACTCCCACATACCCCTACAGAGTGACCTGGAATCTTACACACATACACTCACACAGAATGATCTAAAATCTTACACACTCACAGACTTGCAATCTTACACTCCCACCCATAGAGTGACCTGTAATCACACACACAGACACACAGACACACAGACACACACACACACACACACACACACACACACACACACACAATGACTTGGAATCCTACACACCCATCCACAGAGTGACCTGGAGTCATGTCCATCTCTCTGTCCTGTCCCCCCCCACCCCATCCCTCAGCTTTGCTGCCTGCCTGCATACATCCACAGCAGTTCTCCACAATGGAGGGGCAGGCATCCACTGGCTCTGAGCACATCCATCTCCTGAATAGGTTTCCTTTTTCTTCCCTTTGCCCACTCAGCAGGTCCTGCCCTTTCCTACCCACTTGGCTCTGCCCCCTGCCTCCTCTCCCTGCCCAAGACAGATGATGTCTGGGCCAAGAGAATCTGTGGTGACTAGGAAGGGGGGTATAGTGGGGAGGGGGGCGCGCCTTAGATGGGACTGGGCAGGCCCAGGGTAGAGAAGCCCGTCTGCCTCTATGCCTCCCGGGTCCCAGTTGTCAGCAGCACGGGGGTGGGATGGGGTGAGAGGGTGCTGCAGGGAGCAGCTGTCTTACCTGGAGCCCCGAGTCAGAGCTGGGAGCCGGGAGCCTGGAACCTGGAGTCGGGAGCCGGGAACGGAGAGCCTGAGCTCCCTGGCTTCTGCAGCCGAGGGCACCTCGACCTGCCGGCGAGGAGGCTGTGCTGGCTCCCCGGCTCAGGTCTGGCCGGAGACGGGACTGACAGGATCGGAAGCCGCGTCCCAGGAGCGTGCACTCCTCCCCCCAGGGCGGCGAGGACCAGAAGGGCAAGGGCCAGCAGACTGACTGCCTGGCGGCTGGGCTCGGCTGGGCTGGGCTGCGGGAGCTCACCCACTGGCCGGGGCCACCTCTTGTCAGCAGTAAGACCCCCCCTGGGTCCGAGCCGGCTCGGGCGGAGAAAGCCTTAATTGGTAAAGTCGCCGGGGAGCCCGGAATGAGGGAGCGAGAGGAAGAGTGAAGGAGAAACTGGGGGGGGAAGGGGGCAGGAGGGGGGACGGGTGATGGCACTGCTGGCGGCGACCCCGCCCCTGGGGGAATGAGCTCACAGCCCATCGGCCCTCCAGCCCAGAGAGGGAGGGCACCCTCACCCCCACCCCAGAGGGGCAAGGAGGGGGGGTGGTGGTGGTGGTGGAGAGGATTGCTCTAGGGTGCCGTCTTAGTTTTTTGGAACGCTTTACTTTGGGCGCTCTTCTTTCCTCAACGCCTCCCCCCAGTTCAAACTGACTGGTAGGATTAGAGGAGGCACACCTCTATCTCTCGTTTAGGCTGAGGGTCAGGGGTCAGTTCTTGGGTGGACCTTGACCCCAATCACACTGCTCGATGGAGCAGACCCGAATGAGAGAGGGAGAGAGCTGAGCAGACTCGGGGCAGGGGAGGGGGGCCTCTCCCCCACTTTCTCCCATCGTCTCAAAAATTAATTCTATTTAAATAACTGGGACAGGGACCCTGATGCTGTTTGCTGCTTTCCTACAGTCTGGCTGGGACCCCCTCCCACCCCCCACCCCAGTTTGGCTCCACCTCTCCCTAAGCCCCATCAGGATAGAAAGGTCCTTCTGCTCCTCCAGAAGCCTGCTAAGGACAGAGTTGCCTAGTGTCCTCCTTTGTCCAGGGTTCCTTCCTCTCCCTCTAATCTCCAAGGTCCTCCAGCCTAGCCCACACTCTTCCTTCATATTTGGCCCCTAACAGAATTATTTGTGAATGAAGCAATGGAAAAGAAAATGGAAAGAATTCTGGCCTGGGATTCCTGGCTAACTCCCAGTGTGACCTTGGGTAAGTCCCTGCCCCTCTCTCGGCCTCAGTTTCTTCATCTGGCAAATGGAATTGGATTGGATTACAAATTCTCTAAGGTCCCTCCCAGGTTTACTGGTGTATGAGAATATAAGGCAATATTAAAAAAAAATGCCATGGGGGGAGGGGGCTGATGGTGGGGGATGGATCCAGGGATCCTGACAACCTTTTCTAGGGGCATCTAGCTACCCATCCCCAGTCTAGGATATTAGGGGAACATGGGCCCCTCCTTGCCTCCCCAGCATGGTCTTCCCCAAAAGCCAGGTGTCAGGGTCCAGGGCTGGAGCATGTGGAGCAGGGAGGAGACCTGGGGTAGGCAGGTGATGAGCAGGGGAAGGGTTAGGGTGGAGAAGGGAGAGAGATGACAGAATCTTAGTCTTGGAGTTGGAAGGGCCCTTGGACTTCATCGAGTCTAACCCCCTCACTGGACAGAGGACCATGTGCATCATCGAGCTGTAACTCCCTCAAAGGTAGTAAGTAAACAGTAGTATCACCTATAGGCGAAAACCTCACCATGTGCCCTGACTGGGAAGCAGGGCCAAGAGGTGGGATGAAAGGCGGGGTGGGGAGGCCAAAGACTTCTCCAGAATCTTCCTTTTCTTGCCCTTAGCACAGCCAGGCCCAGAACTGGACCAACGGGGGTGGGCTGGAGCTTGCAGAGGCCTAGGACCCCAGAGTCTTAGACTAGAACGGGCCTTCTGAGATCATCTAGTCTTATTCCTGCTGTTCTCTCCAGACTCACCCCCCCCACACACACACCCTACTTTACACTGAGATGTGAAGGCACTTCCCCAAAATGAAGGACAATCAGTGACAGAGTCACAACTTCAATTGACCAACAAGCTTTTTATTAAGTCTCTATCACTGGGGAGATACAAAGACAACTCTCTCAAAAGTTGCCACCCTCAATGGATGCCAGGCCTGGCTCCTAAGGTTCTGGTCTCCTGGATGGCTTGTAGGAGGGAGCAAAAAGGAAAGGGAGAGAAAAGAACTGGGGAGATGGCCATGGGGGACAGGGAGGAGGATGTGCCTGAAGGAGATCTCTGAGCTCTCTCCAGACACTGAAAAGGCAGGGGAAGGTCCTAAAGGGCTGGGGTGAGTGGGTGGCAGATCCCAGCCTTACTGTACCCCCACAGCTTTAGATCCTCCCATGGTGGCAGAGGGCTGACCCTTCCCCAGCCCAAGATCCCAAGGAGCTGCCAGGGACAAAGGACTCAAAAATAGGTGAACGGGGGCCTACAAGCAGGGGCCCTTCCCTCAGGAAGCTCACAGGTTCCAACAGTGGGAAGATGTCCATCATAGGCTTAGCTCTGCTGCCTGGTGAACCACCAGAAGGGCCTGATTCCAGCAGTAGCCATAAGGCTCTGACCTAGCAGGTCAACTGGGGGCTGGGGGGGAGAGGGAGAAGAAAAGAGCCCTAAGTGTCTCCCATGCTCTTCACAGCCACCTTGGGGATCTGCACAGAGCAGCCAATGTGTACTCATCTGAGGCAGAATGTTTGCACATGTTACAAATGGCTCCCTCCCCTCTGGGCCTCCCTCTTCCAAGAAGCCATTCTCCATTCCGCCCACTGTCAGGTCCTGTCTCAGCACCCAGTGTTTCTTGGTTTACATTTTATATTTACTCCTCCTTCATTCTCCCTTAGCACTACATAAGCTCCCTGAGGGCAGGGACTGCTTCATTTTTGCCTCCATCTCCTCACAGAGATCAAGCAAGGCCCAGTGCCTAGCACCCAATGGAAGCTTATTGAGTTGAATGGGGCATTATTGTGGCACACACATGAAGGGAGCTAGATTGGATGATCAGTAGGCCTGCTCTTTCTTCTGAGTTCTGCCACTAACTCTGCTGGACCCTTTCCCTCTCTAGGCCTTGTCTCTCCAGACCCCCCACCCCCCACCTCAATCCTGCTCTATAGAATAAGGGTCCGCAAAGTCCTTTCTAGCCCTGATGGGCCATGCTTTGATAAAATATTTCCCAGCACCAGCTGTGCAGGAAGACTTGACTCTGGCTACATTTGGAGGAGCCAGAGGCTGGGGGGACATCAGTGCAGGTTTCTTGGGCACTCCTAGTCTAGCTCATCTAAAGGCAAAGAGATTAGGCTAGGGTCCACTTCCCAGAGCCACTGAGAAGCTCAGCCCAGCAGACCTAGTGGGGACTCCGGGAAAATGTCCCTATCCATCTCTTTTCCTCCTCTTTCCTCTCCTTAGTCCAGGCAGCAGTCTCCCAATCCTAGGTGTTTTCATAATGACAGGAAGCTATCCCAGATGGGCCGCCCCCTTTGCCTGCCTGTTCTCCAACCAAGTATTGCCCAGCCTCAGTTCATCTCTGAACTAGGACCTGGGAAAAGGATCCTAAAAGAAGTGAAGGGAAGGAAATGGGCCTCATTCTTGGCCTCTGAAATCACTGAGGATTCTGTCCAAAAGCCTGCCTGTTTTCTCTCTCTCTCTCTCATACTCTGTTTCTCTCTCATACTCTGTCTCTTGTCTCACTCTCTCTCTGTTTTCTCTTGGTTTCTCTCTCTGGCTCTGGTTCAGTTCCTCTTTCTGCCTTATATCACAATATTTCCATCCAGATCAGCCCCCTGTGCCCAAGCCTGGGGGAGTAGGGTGTGGCACCAGCCATGCCAGGGAAGGCTCCTAGGTGTCTTCCCAACTCCTAACCAGGCCCCAATTTTCCTAAGCCCACTTCACCTCTCCCTAGGCCCCCAACCTCCCTGACCTGAACTACTCCTCATCATCCACACAAAGAAAAGATGACTTTCTTCCTCCCTCAGTTTTTTTCTGCATTTGGGTACAGTGGGGTGAATGCCAGGCTGGAAGCTTGGCTCTGTTACCCTGCTGTCACAAATGGGGGGTGGGGCTCAGAGTTCCCTAATGATCTCAACCCCAGGGGAAGATTCTGGTTTTTTTTGTTTGTTTGTTTTGTTTTGTTTTTTTGAGGCAATTGGGGTTAAGTGACTTGCCCAGGGTCATACAGCTAGTAAGTATCAAGTGTTCGGGAAGATTCTGTTTTGTTGAAGGCTATGACATCTCATCTCAAGAGGTGGGGATGGAGCCTGTGGGTTGAAGTTCCAGGTTCCTCCCTCTCCCTAAGCTGGAAGGGCCAAGAAGGCAAGCAAGAGTGAGTGAGGACCCTCTTCCCTGATCCTGGCACAGAACAAAAGGTAGGCCCTTCCTTCAGTGTGTGTGTGTGTGTGTGTGTGTGTGTGTGTGTGTGTGTGTGTTTGTGTGTGTGTGTGTGTGTGTGGGCCTAGTGTGCATATGGGTCCCAGGGGACATGCATCTGCCCATGTGTTGCTTGGTGCTACTTCATTTATGGACAGATCAAGGCCAGCCCAGCCCTTATGTCTACACTTATGTGTGTACCAGGATAAGAATGCTGAGGCACAGCACCTAGGGGGTTCTTGCCCCCCTAATACTGAGTCTCCATGTTCTTATTGACTTGGGCTAGAGAGTTGGGAAGCCTGGGTTCTATCCCTGCTTGTGCCTCTAAGATGCATGACCTGGAACAAGTCAATCCTCGGCTCTATGCCTCAGTTTCTCCATCTATAAAATAGAAGTGGGGAGGGAAGGCTAATCTCTGAGGCCCCTTCCAGCTCAGTTTCTGTTTGGCCCTACCTTGCCCCAGAAGAAAAGGAAGTCAAAGTTTCACCTGTTTGGGGACTTGTGGGGACCAGGCCCTCAGTTCCATGTAGAGGTTCTTTCTTTGAAGGCCACTGTCCTCTTGCCAAAGGTCCTGGAGCTGGGGTCTTGCCTGTGGTAAGGATGGAGGAGGGTGTCAGTGAAGTACAGGTTTCTAATGACCCTCCACACCCCTGTTGTGGGCACAGAAGCTGTGGAGGCCTAGCACCTGGATCTCTGAAGGCACCCATCCCCTTGCTTTATCCCTTCCCTCACCCAGGGTCACTCACCTGAAGCTTGTGACTCTTCTTTCCCTCCACTGGCAAATGTCTTTGGGTCAGACAGACTACAGGGTGGAGAGGAGTAGACAAGGGCCTCCTCTGCTTCTGGGGGAGTCCAGACTAGGTTCTGGGGGGTGGGGGGGACTGCAAATATGGGACTGAAGAGCACAGCCAGAGGAGGCAGCGAAGGTGGTGGTGGTGGTGGTGGCAGCACCAGCAGTGGTGGCAATAGCAGGGGACAGATGTGGACACACTCACACACAGACACACACAAATTGGGGACTGGAAGAGCTTATAGATCATCGAATCCCCATCCCCCTTTGTTTGCCAGAGCCAGAGGAGGAAAATGAGGCCTAATGAGAAGGGACTTGCCTGAGGTCACACAAGCACATACACAAACACATTTGAACCCAGAGGCAGGGGGCCGGAAAGAGAGGAGAACATGGGGGCGGGGCCAAACCCCTGTGACTTGGGCCCTCAGGACGTGGGCCCAGGATGCTCCTGCTTCCTTGGGAGGGGGTACAGCAGTTAGGGGCCCCTGCCCTAGGCTAGGCACTGTGTGGGAGACAAGGGGAGAGGAACCCTGAGGCTAGCTGGGAAAGGCTAACCTCCCAGGTAGCAGAGAAATATGGGCAATCTGCTCAGAGTGCAGGTCAGAGAGGCCAGTCAGGGCAATCATCCCAAAGGAAGGGGGTTTGGAGGAGGAAACAGAGGCCTCAAGAGAAGGAACCTGTCCAAGGTCACACAGCTAGGGTTTGAAGGATTAGTGGGATGAAAAGAGGAGGGCCAAGGATATAGGATAAGAGGACCAGAGAAGTTGGGCTAGAAGGGGTCTCAGAGATTATCTAGTCAAACCCTCTTCTTTGAAAGAGGGGAAACTGAGGTCCAGGGAGGAAAAATTATTTCCCCAAGATTACAGTTAGTGAGAGGCAAAGCTGGGCTTTGAACTGAGATCTTTTTCAACCAGAACTCTGGCTTTTCATTGGGAAATGAAGGAAAGGGTGAGTGAGGAAAGCACCTGGTGACTGGGTGGAGAGGGTGGAAGCATTGGGGAGTCTCTCACCTCTCCAGCTGCTCCCCAAGTGGGGTCAGGGCCTCTCCAGGCTTCTGGCTACTGGTGTTCCTGAGGCTGCAGTTCTCTGTGGGGGGGGCAGGGATAGGACTCACTTGGAGTTCAATGGGAGAGGGGATGGGGGGCAGGAGAAGCAGTCCTCCATCTCCCCCTAGAAGGCTGGGGGTCCTAGGGAAAGCAGTGCCCATACACGTGCCCAGGCCTGGCAGCCCCTGGGGAACAGCTAAGCTGGAATTCCTCTCCTCATAAGGAAACAGCTTCATTTTGGCTTAGGGGGAAGGGACTTGTTTATACTACCCCGGGGAACAGTGAACAGTGAGTCAGTCTTTGCCTATAGAGGTGGAGATGGAGGGACACACACACACACACACACACACACACACACACACACACACACACACACACACACACCCCTCCACACCTCCCTCCACACCCCCACCCTCTCTTGAGCAGTCTTACCATGTGTTAGCTGCAGGGTGCTGGCTCCTTCAGGGACCTGGGGAGTAGACATGGGATCAAGTCTGGGGAAGGGAGGACAATGCCCTTCCCCTCAACAGTAGATGGGGCAGAGGGAAGTTTGGTGGGGCGTGGGGAAGCAGCAAAGGATTCATGTTCCTCCAAGTCCTCAGACAAGGGAAGAAGTGGGGTGGGGCACCAGGTTGTTTTAGGGTCTGGGGAAGAGCCAGAACACAGATACTCACCTTCCCTTTTAGCTCCAGATTTGGGTGGAGCTGCCTTCTTTGGCAGACACTAGTAGGATTAGAGGTTGGCAGGCCTCTCCAAGCTTCAGCAGCAATTTCCCCCTTCTCTCTAGGATACCATCCTGTTTCCCAAAGGGGCTCCCCAAATGACTCTGAGCCTCCCTTCTCACCCAGCTTGACCTCTTCAGGGACTTGCCCCAGGACAGCCCCCAACTCTTGGGCCCTGATATGGGGCTCCCCATGACTGCCCTGGCAGGCCAAGGGCTGAGGGCAGTCTGGGGCTGTGAGACTTCCACAGGCCCCCAGGGCAGGTTCTGAGCTGTCCCTGGCTGCTGCTGCTGCCTTGGCCTTGGCCTCCAGCTGGTCCAGGTGGAGCTGAAGCCTGCACTGTAATTCCAGCCCTAGGGCCATGGCCTGGACAGCCTCACTCTCCTCATCCTCCTCTGCTGACCCAGGAATGCTCAGAGCCTCCTCATCCTGCAGGCAATAGGCCCCTGCTTCTGCCTCTCCAGGGCCCCACACTTTTGGCTCCTGGAAAGCTCCCTTCTGGGGGATAGTGGCTTTGGTTTCCCCTTGGTGGGAGAGCGGGGCAGGCTGCCTCCCAAGGGCTGAGTCCATTGGCCTTTCTGTTGCTTTTTTTCCTTCTTCCTTCTTGGTCACCTCCTCCATTTTCTCCTCTTTTTTTTTTCCTCACAGTTCAGAAGCCCAATTCAGAAGCTCACAGTTGCAGGAACTCAATCTGGACTGAGAAGGGTTTTTTCTATCCCTGGAGGATCAGATGGGGAGGAAGAGAATAAGCATTTATATGGTGCCTACTGTGTGCCAGGAGGCAACTAGATGGTGAAGTGGATAGAGTGCGGGGCCTGGAGTCAGGAAGACTTAAATCTGGCCTCATACCCTTCCTAACTGTGTGACTTTGGGCAGGTCACTTCACCCTGTTTGCCTCAATTTCCTCATCTGTAAAATGAGGTGGAGAAGGAAATGGCAAACCACTCTAGTATCTCTGCCAAGAAAACCCCAAATGGAGTCACGAAGAGTCAGACATGACTGAAATGACTGAATAACAATAAACTGTGTACCAGGGACTGTACAGAGTGCTTTTTACAAATATCCTCTCATTTGATTCCCACAACAACCTTGGGAGGTAGGTGCTGTTGTTAGCTCCATTTTACAGTTGAGGAAACTGAGGCAGGCAGAGGTGAAGTGACTTCCTCAGGGACACACAACTTGTAAGTATTATTTGAGGCTACATCTGAACTCAGATCCTCCTGACTCCAGGCCCAGGGCTCTATCTAGCTGCTTCTATTCAGAGAAGGCCAGGTACCTAAGTCACATGGCAAGTCACTGGTCAACAGCCAGTGCCAAAGCCCTGGTCTCAGTAGAACATAAGCTCCTTGAGGGCAGGGACTGTTTCATTATTCATCGATATTTGTATCTGAAGTGCTTAGCACAGTGCCTGGCACACAGTAGGCACTTAATGTTTATTAAAGACTGATCGGTTCTTCAATGTATCCGTGGAACCTAGGACAGGGCCTGGAACATAGGTCTTTAAATTGGATCATCTCCTGTTGAGGTCTCCTTGCTTTGCTAGGAGTTTTCTGGCTTTTTCCCCAGTGTGAGGACCATGTCTTTGTCCTTCTCTGTACTCCCATCTTGTCATCCTACTGTGAGGCCTGAGTATCAGTGACTCTCTCTACTTGATCTCACTTGGACTGAAGAATTTACACTGTAAGTATCTTGTACATACAAAGGGGTTTGCACACATTATTACATTATTACACAGCAAGCTCCTTGAGGGCAGGGACTGTCTTTTGCCTCTCTTTGTATCCTCAGCACTTAGCACAGGGCCTGGCATACATCAGAGGCTTGATAAATGCCTACTGACTGACTGGGATGAGGGGAGGGGCCAGGGGTTGGCCTTATTTCACCAAAGTAGAGCCACTACTTGGGGGAAGAGATAGCAGACTCATAACAGTAACCACGTGGCCCTTCTGCTTCTCCACCCTGTGGTTTTGGGTGGTAACCTGCTCGAAGGCAGCGGCTTGGGTGAGATGAACAAACTGTCCCAGAGCCTTCTCAGCTCTACTAACCACAAGCCTGGGTGCTGCTGCAACTGGGCAACAGCAGTGAGAAAGGAGGGCAGGGTGCTTCCATTCGTCATGCTAGAGCCGCAAGGGGCCCTAAAGGTCTAGGGGAAACCAGGACCCAAACCCCACAGCCAATCCGGGCTCGCAGGCCGGGTGTGGACCAGCAGTGGGCTGGGCACCAGGGAACCATGGCCTTGCCCACCTGGGGGCCCTGGCATGGCCGACAGGGGCAGGCCCAGCACGAGTACAGACCAAGGCCCGGAAGGCCAGAGGCTTGGCTGGGCAGGGGGACCTGGGACGCCTGGCGGGCTTGGGATGGTGGGGTCAGGGTAGCTGCTTCTCTCGGGGGGCGTGGCCGTGCATTGGCTCATCCTTGGGGATCACACAATGCTTCCCAGCAGATCCATCCCGGCACCCCCACCCCCACCCCAGGTGTTTAACGGCGGGGCGCAGTCCCTCCCCCACAGCCCAGCCCAGCCCAGCCCATCCCAGCTCCACCCGGCCTCACGATCCCTACTCGGCTCTCCTCCCGCGGCCGCCCGGTAACATGCTCTCAGCCAATCGCCTGCCAGCTGGGGCCAAAGGCTATTGGCGATTCTCAGCTGGGCCAATCAGTACGGCTCATTTATTTCTTAGCCAATCACAGCTCAGCTTTTCGGTAGTTGCCAGGCTCATTATGCCCTCGGGTGACGTCATCGCCCTCAGTGCAAGCTTTTGGGGGACGAGAGCGGTGGGGGGAGGGGGGCTGAGAATGGAGGGGATGAAAGAGGGATCCAGTGTTCTCCGTGGCACCCTTAGTGGGGAGGGGGAACAAAAAATTGGGCATGACTGGAAGGGGAGGAGGGGCTGCGGGCGGCCCCCCACAGCCGCCCCCGCTTCCCACCCTTAGCTTAGTACAGACGCAGAAGCGGGCTGTCGGACTCCCCCCCTGGAGAACTGGATGGGCCTCATTTTACAGAGGAGGAAACTGAGGCCTAGCGAGGTTAGGTGACTTACCCAAGGTCACACGAATGGCAGAGACAGGCTCCAAACCCGGGTCCTCTCACTCTAGTAGAGCCAACAAGAGAATCGAATGCGGCAATAATAGTTAGAGAGAGAGGGTTCGATGGAGAGAGAAGGGGGAGGGAGAGGGAATGAGAGTGACAAAGAGGATGAGAGAGGGAAAATGGGGGCACTGCGATTACGGCTGCGGCTGCGACTGCGGCTGCTGCGGCAAGAGAGGGACCCGGCGAGATAAGGGACTGGCTGGGCTCTGATAAGGCAGTTGAGAGAAGAGACACGGAAAGAGTGCCGCTTCTGGTCATGACCGGGACGGACTGCTTTGTGAATTGGGAAAGGGGCTAGTCCTCGCCCTTAGCCCTCTTCTCCACCCCTCCCCTCACTCTTCCCTTTTGTCCCCCCAAACTGGAGAAAGCACCTAGAAGGAAGGCGTGGGGCTAGATGAAAGGGTTGCTTTGCTGGGAGGGGTCCGCAAGTTTGTGGCGCCTCAGAATATGGAGGAGGGGGTATTTACATACATCACAGGCTCAGGTGGCATGCCGTGGCCCTCCTCTCTTTTCCTTCCTCTCAATCAATAATCATTTATTAGGTGCCTATATGTACCGAACATTGTACTAAGTTTTAGGGAGAAAATGAAAGGCAAAAACAGGGTCCCTGCTCACAAATGGGAGAGACAACATGTAAACAACCACTTACAAACAAGATATAAACCGGATAAAGAGGAAATAATCAACAGAGCTATTAATATGGGGGATCTTAAAGTCTTCCTGTAGAACGCTGAATTTTAGCTGGATCTTTAAGCCAGGAAGATGAGGAAAGAGAGAAATAGAGATAAGGAGGGAGAAAGTCCTTAGAAAATGTCAGGAGTTAAAGCATTTTGCTCGGAGAACAGCACTGTGGTCACTGGATTGCAAGACCTTGTGGAGGTGTGAACATTCTCCTGAATGTTCCTCCTCTTCCTCCCTCCATTCCGTCTCCGTCTGTGTCTCTCAGTCTGTCTGTCTCTCTCTCTCTCACTCTCTCATTCACACACATACACACACACACACACACACACAATTTCCTTTCTCCCTCCCCTCTGGTTCTCCAGCCTCTCTGAGGCTGGCCCATCGGAGGTGCCCAAGGTGAAAATCCTGGGGTAAGGGCTGTGTGGATAAGAATTCATGCCTACTCAAGTTGTTTAGACCAACCATGATACCTTGATACCACAGTCACCCCCTCCTAGACACAGGAATCCCTGCCTATCCTCAGGAAAGCCCCAGGAGGAAAGGCTTTAGTGATGAGAGGCAGGCTTAGAAGAGTCTGAGTTAAAACAGGCCAAAGAGAAGGGTATTTCCCCTGGCATCAGGGCAGAATTGCATGTCAACCATACTTGCCAGGGTGACTCAGATTTCCTGGGCTTGTGAGGTAGGGGCTAACCAAGGCATTGAACCACGTCACCAGGTACCCACAGATACTAGTCTTTTCCCTCAAGCATATCAACAAGCTAGGAAATCATGCAGAGCCTTTAGAAAAGGGAACAGAGACAGGGAAGAAAGTGAGGAGAGGGAGGAATTTACTTAGGGCTCTAAGCTCCCCCTGCTTACCATCTGCCAAGCCCAGGGCAGGGAAAACACCCAAATAAGTTTCTTTGGGGAGGGGGAGTAGAGGAATAGCTCACATTTACATAGGCTTTAAAGTTTGCAAAACACTTTACAGATATTTTCATATGATCCTTGCAATGAGGTAAGTGCTATTTTACTATTTTCACTCCCATTTTACAGATGAAGAAACTGAGGCTCAAAGATGGCAGGCCTAGGATCACATAGCTAGCAGGTGTTTGAGGTGGCGTTCTAACCCAGGTCTTCCTACCTCCAATTCCAGTACTCTCCCACTGGGTACACTGCCTGTGAATGTTTGAAAGAGTCCTGAGCCACTCTTTTCAACATTGTAAAGGAAGTAAAATTTGCATTCTTATTCCCTCTTTTCCTTTTCCTCAGTCACCACTCCTGTCTGGGCCTTTATTGATCTTTTATAGACTGTGCATTAGCTTCCTTCCTTTTTTTTTTCTTTAAATTTATTTTGAGTTCCAAAATATCTCCCTCCCTCTGCCCACCCATTGAGAAGACAAACACATTATATCTATGAAGTCATGCAAAGCACGTTTTTGTATTAGCTATGTTGTCAAAAAAAAAAGCAAGAAAAATAAAGAAAGGAAAAAATGCTTCAATCTGCACTCAGAATCTATCAGTTCTCTCTCTGGGCGTGGACACCATTTTTCATCTAGTTCTTTAGAATTGTCTTAGATCATTGTATTGATCGAGTAGTTAGGTCTTTCACAGGTACTCATCATACAGCATTACTATCACTGTGTACAATGTTCTAGTTCTGCCCACTTCACTTTACATCAGCTCATGTAAGTCTTCCAAGGTTTTTCTGAAACCATTCCCCTCATCATTTGTTATAGTACAATAGTAAACCTATCACAATCATATAATACAATTCAGCCATTCCCCCTTTGATGGGCATCCCCTCAATTTCCACCTTTCTTTGCCACCACAAAAACAGCTGCTATACATATTTTTGTACATTTAGGTCCTTTTCTCTTTCATTTGATTTCTTTAGGGTACAGACTAGTAGTGGTATTGCTGGATCAAAGGGTAGCGCAGTTTTATAGCCCTTTAGACAGAGTTCCAAATTGCTTTCCAAAATGGTTGAATCAGTTCACAGCTCCACCAACTGTACATTTAGTGTACCTGTTTTTCAACATCCCTTCCAACAGTTATCATTTTCCTTTTCTGTCATGTTAGCCAATCTGATGGGTGTGAGGTGGTAACACAGAGTTGTTTTAATTTGTACTTCTCTAATTCTTAATTATTTAGAGCATTTTTTCATATGTTGATTGGGAGCTTTGATTTCTTCTTCTGAAAACTGCCTGTTCATATCCTTTGGCCATTTATCAATTGAGGGAATGGCTCTTATTTCTTATAAATTTGGCTCAGTTCCCTATATATTTGAGAAATTTGATATATATTTGATGTTTATCAGAGAAATTTGGTATAAAATACTTCCTTAGTTCTCTGCTTTCTTTCTAATTTTGGCTGCATTGGTCTTGTTTGTGCAAAACCTTTTTCATTTCATGTAATCAAAATTATCCATTTTAATGGATTTTCTGCTGAAAGGAAGAGATAAGTGTGGGAGACTGGCATGAGATAGTATGGTGGTTTTATGGGTTATAAGGAAAGAAATCATTGCCTGTTGGCCAAATCCTTACCTAACAGTGATAGCTTTCTAATGTGTTGGAACCTGAATCTGAAATAAAATTATTGTTAAAGAAAAAAAATTATCCATTTTACATCTAGTGATCCTCCCTATCTCTTGTTTGGTTATGAACTCTTACATCTTCCCTAGATCTGACAGATAATTTCTTCCATGTTCCTCTGATTTATTTATGATGTCACCTTTTATGTCTAAATACATTTTGTCTAAACTCACTTTGACCTTATCTTGGTATACAATGTGAAATGTTGGTCTGTGTGCCTAATTTCTGCCAGACCACTTTCCAGTTTTCCCAGCAGTTTTTGTGAGTTCTTGTCCACCAAAGCATTTTTGGGTTTATCAAACACTAGATTACTATGGTTATTTACTCCTGTGTATTGTGTACCTAATGTATTCCACTGATCCACCACTCTATTTTCTAGCCAATACCAGATTGTTTTGATGATTACTGCTTTGTAATATAGTTTGAAATCTGATACTTCGAGGCTACCTTCCTTTATTTTTTTTTCATTGATTCGCTTGATAGTGTTGATTTTTTGTTTTTCCAGATGAATTTTTTTTCTAGCTCTAAAAAAGAATTCTTGAGTAGATTGGTATGGCACTGAACAAGTTAATTTAGGCAGAATTGTCATTTTTATTGTATTGGCTGAGCCTACCCATGAGCAGTTAATATTCTCATTGTTTTAGACTTGTCTTTATTTGTGGAAAAGTGTTTAGTAATTGTGTTCATGTAGTTCCTGGGTGTGTGTTGGCAGGCAAACTCCCAAGTATTTTATATTTATTTCTGCAATTATTTTAAATGGAATTTCTCTTTTTGATGAGTTTTGTTGGTAATATATAGAAATGTTAATGATTTATGTGGGTTTATTTTGTGTCCTGCAACTTTGCTAAAGTTAGCAATTGTTTCAATTAGTTTTTTACGTGATTCTCTAGGGTTCTCTAAGTATGTCATCATATCGTCTTCAAAGAATTTTGTTTCCTTGTTGCCTATTCTTATTCCTTCAATTTCTTTTTCTTCTCTTATTGCTATAGCTAGCATTTCTAGTATAGTATTGATGATGCTGGTATGATACTGGATGATAGTGGTGATAATGGACATCTTAGCTTCACCCCTGATCTTATTGGGAAGGCTTTAGCTTATCCACGTTACAGATAATGCTTGCTCTTGGTTTTCGGTAGACACTACTTATTTTTAAAAAGCCTCCATTGATTCCTATGCTTTTTAGTGTTTTTTTTTTTTCAATAGGAGTGGGTGTTGTATGTTGTCAAAAACCTTTTCTGCATCTATTGAGATAATCATATGATTTCTGTTGATTTTGTTATTGATATGGTAAATTATGCTGATAGTTTTCCTAATATTGAGTCAGCCATGCATTCCTGGTATAAATTCCACATGGTCATAGTGTATGATCTTTGCAATATATTTCTGTAATCTCCTTGCTAGTAGTTTATTTCAAATTTTGCATCAATGTTCATTAGGGAAATTGGCTCTGTTTTAGCACTTCCTGGTTTAGGTGTCAAGCCTGTATGTTTACTTATTCATTAGCCTCTTTTCTCCTGAATATTACCAGAGCCACATTCTAGGGCCAAGTTCCTTTCTAGTCCTCTTTCCTGAGCTTCTCTTTTCTACTGTCTCTATTGTAGCTGAGCAGAGAGTCTGAGCTCATTTTGCTCCTTTCTCACTTCTGCTTCTTGCTCTTATATTCCCTCTTGCTGGAATACCTTTAGTTTGAAGTGGGCTTGATCACTTCCAAATTCAGTTCCATTCACCAAACTCATTAAGCATTTCTGCTATGCAGTTAGAAAATAATTTGTTTTTGACTTCAGGTGCCAGTAGGACCTCTAGGTGGAGGCGTGAGTCTGAAGCACAAAAGAGGTTAGGGCTGGAGATAATGAACTGGAAAGTGATCATCAAAAACTTAAGAATGCATGTGATTGCTAGGGGAGAGGAGAGAGAGACAGAGAGAGAGAAAGAGAGAGAGAG